GGTAATAATAGTTGACAGGAACAGGACAAAAAGTCAGAATAATCAAAAATCCAAATACAGAATCATGGGTAGCTAGCTCCGTTTAGCATAGCAGCTCCCTCCCGTCCCGGGGGGAAGGTACGCGACAAGCTAGTTGGGTGTGGATGCGATCCATCGACCCCCTTTCTTTCTCTTTCTTTTCTGGCAGTGTTCTGCGCGCCGCCCCAAGGTTCCTGTCCCAACGTTTGACTGACGGCTACGGTCCCAGGCACCTGGAAGGTAAGGTATTTTCCCCCGTAATTACGGTAATTTCCCTTTGTCTCTCCCCTTGCCCATCTCATTGCTTCATTGATGAGTGTGTCTTACTACGACGTCTTACCTGAGATGATTCTGACGGTTTCAGGCTTATTTCGTCCTATCTTACTCCGTATTTGTTCTGGCTAAAGTCAAGGGACTCAGCGCTTCAGCTGATGGCTGATTTTTCAGGACGCCCACGGGATCGTTCGGAGTCATCACAACCTAGGTTCCTTTCTACTAGGGTAGGAGTCTGTTACGAATAGAATCTAGCCTGGAAAGAGTATGGTAACGGAAGAAACCTGTGTAATACGACAGCGTCCCATAGCTACCGACCTATGACTACGAATGGGGAAAGGAAACAAGGGAAGAAAATCGGAGCTCTCCACCAAAGTGCTCCGTATATAGGTAGTACTACTTGGTTAATTAAAAGCTACCTAACCTTCTGAGAACCGACTTCTCGGACACAGCGGACTGGCTTGTTGCAGGGTATGAGTGGGGAACTTACAGCCGCTTCCAGGAACCGCGGATCCATCCGAACCAACACCAATGGGGCTTGTCTCGATTGCTCTCGCGTGGTGTTTCGGGGGGGTGGATGGGTTAAGTTACCTATGGAGCAGTGATTTCCCCAAGCCCTATACTATTCCCTCGAGAAACCCTTTGGCTAGGCTTCTTTATTTGTTTACCCAATCCGGCTTACTCTTACCGGTTTGATCGTCTTGACGTATTCCGTTTTCCCAAATTTTCAGGCGGAGTACCTAGTGTGAGGCACCAATACTGGCAGTAACTGTCATGAAAGGCAATTGTTCCTTTAGACATGGATGCGTAGTGTATGAACACCTGAGCGAGAGCTGTCCATGCAGCGACATGTACTCGATATGCATGTACATATCTACTCTACGTCGAATGAGGAATCACTAGTAGATGTTATGTGGCGCCATGTTTGATAGGTAAGGTCTGCACAAAGTACCGGGTCAAAACCTAAGGCACCGGAATTGGTAAGGATATCGACTAGGGTAGTCGGTCGTACCTTTGGTAAGTTATAGGTACGAGCTAAGGTACGTATTGTAAATGGAGGTTCCCCATAGAACCAATCCAGAAGCTTTTGTTACCCGGTACCTGCTGTAGTGGCCTACTAAGTCTCGGGAGACTATCGTAACCAAGATCATTGTTTATTGATTCGATACTTCCCTTTTAGTTTGATCCACTACTCCCCTGACTGATTCGGTGGCGATTGGTTGTGTTGTTTGCCGAGTTGAGCTCTTGTTTGATGATGTATGGATGGCTACGATTTTGTATTGCATTGCCATCAAGGAAGAAAGAAAGAAAGAGCTTTGACCATGCCAAACAGAGTACATTTGGTTATTTCCTTGTTGCCAAATTTACCTCAGTCTTTATTATTCTATCTCTTCCCATTAATCCCCGGTCACCAGGGAAATCAGGGCTACCTTTAGCAATAGGGGCACCGGTGGATCCTTCTCATAGCGATCAATGATCCGGTAAACCCACAGTTACCCGCCCCGTTACGTATTATATGCGACCATCATTCTTCTCATGACCTTCTAGTGCTTCTAGTGTATTGTCCGTCTATTCCCCCCGCGACCATCAGAGCAACTTATTTGTCCTCCGGATCAAGTCACGGTTTTCCTCCAATGGCTGTGGTCCTTCTAGATTTTTCTCTCCTGTTTCACTGGATTTGTCCCGGGGTAACGCCGCTGATCGACTGATGTACCCCGATTTACCTCCTGGATCATGGATTGATTGTATTGCTACTAAGTTGGGTTAACTCCAGAGGGACCGTCTCCATCGGCAGGTCCCAGAATGCAGAACGTATAGAAACCTGTAATTTACCACTCCACAATTTGACCGCCCACTGAGCCTCGCCACAATGGGGCAGAGTATCTCCAACGGAAGAGGGCGGCAGAATGGTTGAGTTCAAGGTTCTGCCGAGTTGGCTCAACTCTCCAGCCACAGGATTCACACTGCAAATTGTGGGTTCTCTTTGTTCTGGCCTGTCCTGGACCAGATGTGAACAGAAACGTTTGATGTTTGACAGGGTTCGCTTACTTAATAGTTGCCTTAGCGGCCACATGTTTCAAATAGAACTGGACATCCGTTTGTAACCCAACTGATCAATTGATTATCTAGGTACTTTGACACGACGGTCAAAAAAAACAAACAAAACAAAAACCACCTGGCAAGACGCTTGTCAAATCAGACAAAGAGGCGTTGCAACGGGTTTGTGCCTCAGTAGTTAATCACACAGCCAAGAGTTACATCGTTCCAATGGGAGGAAATTGACATGTAGATTGGACGACGCTAGTGCTTCAGATGGTACCTTTTTGTCGCCTTCTGGACAATGAACACATGCACAATCAACGCCACTTGACAGATTACATGGTTTCAGATGAACTCGTCATCGCCCTCAATACGGAGTACGTGACAGAACAAGCAGATTGCCAACAGGTGTGATTCCAGAATCCTTCTGGAAGTCCATCCGAATGGTGCGGTACCATGGTTCCATCGCGGATCGTGCCATGAGCTTATGGGGCTTCCCTACATAGTATGCTGGATACGGAGACGTATTGTCTTGCTTTTTTTGTTTAGGGCGCAGACCGGAGATTCCCACCCTAGCCTTCTCGGGTATTATAGTCGATCGAATGACTCAGATAATACAGCTAAGACGACACTAGAAACTGGAGAACAAAGGAAGGAGTCTAAAGAACCGTTGGACTCGCCCACTTCGGGGCAGGGACGGGGAGTTGGCTGTTGGTTCCGTTTCCGCGCCCTCAATCAGGCATGGTCGATACTATTACTGTTAAAGGTAAATGATTGTGGTACTATTTATTAGCAGTTATTAGATAATTATTGAGGCTGTTAGACGAGCATTCGCTGCAGGTTCGGGCAATAGGCAGGGAATCTTTGTGGATCAATCGGTTACTGCCAAGGCCATCGATTACTACGGAGTACTCCGACCAGTGCTTTATTCTAACACAATAAAATCCGGTGCGCTGTGTGCATGAACTTGTCTATATTTGAAGAGTTTATCTTGTTAGAAATATCACAAGCCTGGTATTATAGACAGTCGAGTTCAGTGCCACTATAGGGTAACTCACGGTGGCGGTCAATATATTTCGACCAAATATTTGTCTTAGTAGAGGCAAAGATAGTCTCAATATCCATTGAGAGCCAGAAATAAATTACTAAAGGCTTGAACGGATCAACTATAGCAAAGCCGCATAGTCTCTAAGTATGTGATATCCTCCAATCTCTATTACGCAGTACAAATAGCAAACATAGATCTGGATGCATCAAATTCAAGCTCAATTGACGCATAACCGAAAGAATGGATAAAAAAGTATCGTCAACCAAGCCATGACGGTACAAAAGTACCTTGTGAGGAGTATGTACTTCCTCACAGACACAGATACATTATCGCCACAAACATTCTTCAATAAGCTGTTACTGTGCCACAATTGATGGGTCAGATTGATCCTCTATCATTGGCCTTCCATGTTGAGACATCGATGCGGACTCCTCATCTTTCGCGGAACCAGAATCCTGGGAAGGGGAGAATCAGAAAAAAGAGTTTGCTATGATCAGCGGGACACATCCGGACGAATCAGATGCATGATAGTCCCCGCCATAGGTAGGGATAGTGCGTTATTGTCAATCATCCATGTGTCTCCTCGCGTCTGGATACATATCCACTATGAAGCCACAATCCACTCCCATGCAGCCTGTCGGTCATCGATTGATAGGTTGTCCACCGGATCGACATGAAGATTGTGTCCGACGTATTACCGAGCGAAGCCGTGGAGTCGTCTCCTTCCTACCCTGTCGGCAATATGTATGCAACCTGTCTGTATGTAAGGGGGGAAGCATTCCAGTCTCCAGAGCTGCAGATGCACGATTATCATCGATCGATACAGCGACGCCACTCCTCAGGGCCCAAGGGTTGGTGTCCAGCATTCGGGTCTTGCAACTTTCTTGTATATATTCCGATTATTTGTGGCTGGGTATGGTGTGGTTGTAGTACTTTGGCTTGTACAGTACTTTTATCATCTGTTTCCCACCCACCCACTCACCACGCCCCCGACTGCCACACATGCCTTGGGTCACCTCATCAAACCCCATCACAAACATGCCCAATGACCAATACTACACCGTGCTCTATTAGAACTGGGATATCGCTGATGGACGGTTCTGGATCGCATGGTACCGGGACTATGGAAACGGTCGCGCGGGTGGTTTGGATCTAAATCAATGGGGTTCATCATGGCATTACCGCAACCATTTGCCTCGTTGGGTAAGAACTGCGATGGACGGGCTGATAGTACCCAATAGTCAGGGTCAAACGTCCGAGGTGATAAAAAAAGAGGTTGAAGACGGAAAGTTTTGAATATCCTACGGAGTAGACAGGCGAAGTAAGTTCTGGCCCGAGACGGGGAAGAGGAACTGAGGTTCCAGAATGGCGGGTGGATGCGTTAGCTTCCTTCGTCCTGGACTTGCCTGGTAGAGACAGCTCTTCTAATTTCTGGATGTTTGACATGATCTACATTCTACATAGTCCGGCCGGCTCCGTCACCGATAGAGCAATATGATTAACCCAACTATTCAAATGATCCCCGGACGGCGTGGGAACACTATAGGAACACTGCAGATAGGGCAGTCCCAGTTGTCCATGAGATAGGTAATAACCACCAAGGCTGACCGGCTTTAATTTTAAATTACATGGGATTTCGATCCACTGTCTGATTGGTAATGACCTTACCGATCAACTCCCCCTTCTAGAATTCCAACCCGTGGCTTTTGACGCTAAAAGTCCGGCTGCATTTCCGCGCTGGTACTAGTCGTGACCCAAGCCCGGGATGCATGTGAGGCTCCCACCAAAGTAAATTAAAAAAAAAAAAAAAAAACAAAAAAAAAAAAAAAAGTGTATTTATTTACCAAGAAGAGTTCTTGGTAATCTGTACGAACCAAAGAGTGGAGCTTGTCCTTCCACTTCCGCTTTGGTCCCGAATGACGGGTTCCTGCCTCTCGTTTCTCTCGCCTATTGCAATGATGTAGATCTCCGAGGTTCTATTCACATTTAATCGGTACTATTCGAGGTACCAGTTTCGACCCGAGGTGGTTGCTGAGGGAATAAAATGTATTTATTATATGCGAGGAAGTTTCAGTAGGATAGGGTGACATTAGTTTTATTCTATTTGTAATCTTATCTTGTTTTAATACATACATATATACATATGTATGTATGAATATTCCAGACGTATCCAGAGAGACGCTCATCTCGTTAAATCAATTGGCTGGGGGCGATTTGGTTTGGAGGTTGAGCAAAAGAATGTGATTGATCTACAATGCAGCAAAAGCAAAAGAGGCTGGCTGTCTGGGAAAAAGAAAGTCCACTTTTTTCTATTCCCCGACATCACCGATAGATTGGAAAATGAGTGAAAATCCAAAAGCCACAAGATTATTTTGCTCTATGTTTTGAACCTACTGCAGAAATATGCAAACAATACACATTCCAATTGTCATCAACCCTTCCCCTGTTTCAATCCCATCCAACCAATAATCAATAGTGCAGCAAGGCAAAGGTCTCCTGCTTGGTGATCAGACCTCTTCACCCCAATTCCTGGCTTTCCTTGTTTCACAACAGATCGGTCGATCTTGGGTTCCTACATGGCCAATCTTTGACTTGATCGTCTGCAGAAATGAGGTACCGGCAACCAGGCACAGCATACCCGCCCTGCGAGGACCGAGGCACGGTCCAGACCTTGTCTTGTCCTTTCAGACATGATTCATTGAGGTACCCCAGCCATTGATTGTCGTGCAAATGCAATGGTCCGGGGCATTTGGAATGAATCATGCAGCAACATTCTCTTGTCGTGTGCTCTTTTTTTTTCTTTTCTTTTTCTTTTTGAGGTTACAGTTGTGGATGTGGCGGTTGGACAGGTCATTCTGGTGGTGTTTTGCCACTAAAGTATTGGTCCTCTTCGGGCAATTTCCTTCACCCTTCAGGGCTGTCAGCTAAAAAAGGGTATTCCAAATGCACTGGTGATCCGTGTTCTCGATATGGAAAGGTAATTATATAGCATTTTCCGTGGTAAAAATCTTTTCGCATGGTTCTGGTACACAGTATATACCCTATCATAATGCTGAAAGGAGATAAGCGAGCAATCCATGATAGCTATAGCGATGTTAGTATCCCAGAACATCTATCTAGGCTGTATAATTGTACATTCCCCAGTTGGAAGTGACAACATAGTTGACATCTAACACCTGCGCGCTCACTCACATCTTTTTCGACTTTTTCCTTCCTTTCCTTCTCTCTCTCTCTCTCTCTCTCTCTCTTTCAATAGGCTAAGTTAATATCACAACCCTCTGATTGGCATACTGAACATCGAGAAGAAATATATATGACACTGGTCCGTCAATTATGAAAAGAGCGGCCGAACCAGTAGTCAGTCATACATTGCAAACTATGAATCGAAGCCAACCCATTAGGATAGGATAGACAGGGATAACGTGATTGATAAATGACCATATTATGCCCCAGAATTAGCGAACCCCCTGACTGTGAACTTCCGAGACACCACACCATCATGATCCATTATTACTTCCGTGTGCTAAAATGCAATTATATGCCATTTCGAACTTAGAAAACGCATTAGCCAGTGTGCTTGAGATTTGAAGAAGAAAAAGAAAAAAAAGTTATTCTCACCTGCTCATCTGTCTGGCAGACCATCACACGTGGTCCACTATCACCTACCTTGGAGATATCCATCACCGTCTGGTCGTCGGACGGCCCTTTATCATTAGCTGATGCATCAATAGCTACCCCTAGGCACTGGCATTTCTCGACGATAGTTTTCCTCAGTAAGGCACTCTTCTCGCCGATTCCGCCGGCGAAAACGAGTGCATCAACTTTCCCTTCTAACTTGACAAAGTAATTACCTATGTACCCCAGAATACGGTCGACGAGAATGTCGAAAGCAAGCTTATGTTCTGGACTTGGAGGATTCTCAACAGCTATCTGGGAAAAATCTGTAGTTCCAGTGAGCGCTTTCCATCCGGATTTCTTGTTGAGAATTTCTTCAGCCTGGATGGACCTAAGTCAGCTAGCCGTTTGCTTCTGTCAACCAGTCTCAGGGACCTACCGTGCTGATATGCATTTCTTTAGTGCTCGCAGGGCTCAGCTTTCCTGCCTCGCTGGTGTAATGAAACACAAGCCTGCCAAACACACATTAACCATTTTAGTTCAGAGCTAACTTTCCGATGAAACTCACGATGGATCAATATCACCACTACGGGTGGCGCCAGGTAAGCCAGCCAAGGGTGTAAGTCCCATTCTGAGAAAAACTTGTCAGCACGTGTTTTACACAATGGACGAAGATCATTCTTACGAAGTGTCAATGGACTTGCCCTCCTTGATCGCGCATACAGAAGCACCACTTCCAATATGCAGGGCAATCACGTTAGTCTGTTCCACTGGCTTGCTGAGAAACTGAGCTACCGAGCGCAGGATGAAGGAATAACTAATGCCATGAAATCCATATTTCCGGAGACCATTTGCCTTCGCGGTGTCCTGGTTAATTGGATACGTCTTTACATAGTCGGGCAAAGTCTGGTGGAAGGCAGAGTCAAAGAATGTGATACTTTTCACCGAAGGCAGTTCCTTTCTACAGAGTCGGATGATCTCCAAAGCAGAAAAGTTGTGTCTGTCGCCAGTCAGAAATGCATCCGGATCGAAGAAGCATGAACATTACATACAGTGGGGCTAGATCCTCGAGTTTCTCCAAGTGGTGATAGGTTTCATTGGTGATGACTACCGATCGCTCATAGTCTCCTCCATGAACAACCCGATGGCAAATGAATGCCAGGTCGTCACTGCTGGTAACTTCGGATAGGTTTGGATCCGAGAAACACCTCTGCAGAAGGAACTTGAAAGCATCCTGCGGCGTGCTCAAATTCTCCTTGAGCTGCTCCTTGTGGTTCGTCGATCCTTGAGTGTATTTCAGTGTTGCCGGAGGAGCTGTGATCCCCGAGATCTGTGCATTGGCGACGACCTTTGGAGGCTGCTCAAAGGTGTAGAAGGTAATCTTCACCGAGGACGATCCGGCATTAACCGAGAGAATAGATTTGCGTGCCATGTTGGAAGCGACGGAATCAGGAGGGTTCAATGAGCCGAGATGTACGTATCCACCGGCTTCCAGGCTGACAGGGAGAGAAATAAGTAATCGGCTTGTGGCTTATGATGCCCCTCTCTTTCATAATTTACAACTGAAAGGTACTATTCCATTTGTTCGTTGCGGGTCAGTTTCCCTGCTGGGGTGCAGTCGGTGATGTCAAAGGACTTGCATGGTGACGTAGTTGGGGAGCCGACATCATGGACCTGGAACTACCGCCTCGAAATATATTTCCGGTCAATCCTACGAGATTCTAGGCCCATTTAATCCAAGGATTTATACCTTAAGGCGGGGACTGGGATTTATCTTTCTCTCTGCGTCTGGAACCCACAGGAAAGCTATTAGAACTTGTGGCATCGCCCCCCAAGCTTTACAGTTCCATTCTCCATTATCCATTGATCCTTTGGCGCGATCCACACTACCAGCAAACTTTATATCAAACAAGCAATATCAACACATTGCATATATCTAAACATCTTCGACGGATCACTAACAATGCCGGGAGAGACTATCGACAGGCCGAATCCTAAGGCTGAGCCGTCGCATATTCCGGATGTCGTTGAACAGCTGCAAGTCCAGCTCGACCAGACTTCCTTGGATCAATCTACCTCCGATGCTATATTGAAATTTCGCCGAGCAGCTGCTTACATTGCAGCAGGTAAGATTAGATATTTCTATATGCAAAGATCACCCGCTTATGTTCTCTAGCAATGATTTTTCTGCAGGACAATGTGTTGTTGAAGCGCGATCTAAAACATGATGACATCAAGCCTCGACTACTTGGTGAGATCCTCTGAAGCTTTGTATACATCATCTGGTATAGCAACACCTTTGCTAATTCAATACCATATTTTCAGGCCACTGGGGAACATGCCCCGGGCTTATCCTGGTATATTCCCATTTGAACTACATCGTTACGAAGCAAAACCTAGACATGCTGTATGTCGTCGGGCCGGGACACGGAGCACCGGGTCTACTTGCTTCGCTATGGTTGGAGGGTTCATTGGGGAGGTTCTACCCACAGTATTCTCGAGACAATGAAGGCCTCAAGAATCTCATATCGACCTTTAGTACCTCTGGCGGTCTGCCAAGGTTGGACTTTTCCTGGTGAAATAGTATGCAGAACTTAAGCTAACCGTTTCTATTCAGCCATATTAACGCCGAAACCCCAGGAGCCATCCATGAAGGTGGCGAGTTAGGTTATGCATTAGCTGTATCATTCGGTGCAGTTATGGATAATCCGGATGTCATTGTCACTTGCGTGGTTGGTGATGGAGAAGCAGAAACTGGTCCAACAGCGACGTGAGTTCTCGAATGATCTACATGGGTCAAGTTCTATACTAACAAAAACAGTTCCTGGCATGCAATCAAGTACATTGACCCCGCGGAATCAGGAGCAGTTTTACCAATTCTGCATGTCAATGGGTTCAAAATCAGCGAGCGCACCATCTTTGGCTGCATGGACAACAAGGAGTTAATCTCTCTTTTCACAGGATATGGTTACCAAGTGCGCATTGTTGAGAATCTAGACGATATTGATACTGATCTCCATTGCTCTATGAATTGGGCGGTTGGGGAAATCCATAAGATCCAGCAAGCAGCCCGCTCTGGGAAGCCGATCATGAAACCCCGGTGGCCCATGATCGTGCTGCGCACACCTAAGGGTTGGTCGGGGCCCAAGGAGCTACACGGCCAATTTATCGAAGGGTCGTTTCATTCTCACCAGGTTCCTTTGCCTAATGCAAAGAAGGACAAGGAAGAGCTTCAGGCGCTCCAGAAATGGCTGTCTTCCTACAACCCACATGAGCTCTTCACCGAGACAGGGGATGTTATTGATGATGTCAAGTCGATCATTCCCTCTGATGACTCGAAGAAGCTCGGTCAACGTTTCGAGGCATACAAAGCCTACAAGCCACCTAACCTTCCTGATTGGAGGACTTTCTGTGTAGAGAAGGGCACACAAGAAAGCTCGATGAAGACAATTGGGAAATTCATAGATAAAGTCTTCACCCAGAACCCACACAGTGTCCGGCTGTTCTCACCGGATGAGTTAGAGAGTAATAAGCTGGATGCCGCTCTCGCGCATACTGGACGGAACTTCCAATGGGATCAGTACTCCAACGCGAAGGGCGGTCGTGTTATTGAAGTATTGAGTGAACATATGTGTCAAGGTTTCCTTCAGGGCTACACTTTGACCGGGCGTGTGGGTCTCTTTCCTTCCTACGAAAGCTTCTTGGGTATTGTCCACACCATGATGGTGCAATACGCCAAGTTCATGAAGATGGTACGTACCCCTTCCCTATATCCCATTTATTGACTCTCCTTAACCAGAGCGACAAACAACTAGGCCCGAGAAACAGGGTGGCACAAAGATGTAGCAAGCATCAACTATATTGAGACTAGTACCTGGACCCGACAGGAACACAACGGCTTCTCTCACCAGAACCCATCATTCATCGGAAACGTTCTCAAGCTGAAGCCTAATGCCGCGCGTGTTTATCTACCACCAGACGCCAATACCTTCTTGACGACCGTTCACCATTGCTTGAAATCCAAGAATTACATCAACCTCATGGTTGGCTCGAAGCAGCCGACACCCGTTTACTTATCACCCGAAGAAGCTGAAAGTCACTGCAGAGCTGGTGCATCGACCTGGAAATTCTGCAGTACAGATGACGGACTCGATCCAGATGTTGTTCTCGTGGGAGTCGGAGTTGAAGTGATGTTTGAAGTCATCTACGCCGCTGCAATTCTGCGCCAACGCTGCCCTGAACTTCGCGTTCGGGTGATCAACGTGACAGACCTCATGATCTTAGAGAACGAAGGAGCGCATCCGCATGCTTTGACAACCGAGTCCTTTGATAACCTTTTCACCTCCGACAAACCAATCCATTTCAACTATCACGGATACGTGACTGAGTTGCAAGGTCTGCTTTTCGGTCGGCCTCGTCTAGAGCGTGTGAGTATTGCCGGGTATATCGAGGAGGGAAGCACCACGACGCCGTTTGATATGATGCTCGCAAACAAGACCTCACGCTTCCATGTGGCGCAGGCTGCCATTAAAGGAGCGGCGAAGCGAAACGAGAAGGTCCGACTCCGTGAGCAGGAGCTGAGCGCAGAGTTGAACCACAACATTGTTGAGACACGGAAATACATTTACGCAAACCGCAAAGGTAAGTTGGCTCTTCATTGTCTGAGTTTGATTTTCTTGGGCTGATTCAGCGTAGATCCTGATGACATGTATGAGATGCCACGATTCGAATGAGTCCACGGTCTAGAGGAACAAGCAGAAGTTACATAGCCACAGCAAAATGAATTCGAATAAATTCGCCATCGCATGATAGATCTACTTGGTATTAGTTGGTGACAGTGGAAAGATGATATTTATATTTTTACTTTCTTCCAGATTCGAATGAATGCATCCAGTTCCGGGCACTGCAATCTTGGCTGATTGCTTTGTGGATTCTCGACTTCATGATTGGCCTTCGACTATGCAGGTCATTCATTACCCCTCTACTACTACTGTTTAGTACATAGTCATGAATAATCCTTTTCAGCCTCGCCTCCATTACATCTTGACTTTCCCTTCTTCCCTCCCCACAAATTATCAACAACGCTTGATACAGTTGTGTGTATATGATCCACCGGAAATTGGAAAATGCGCCTCACGCACGATGATTATACAGTCGCATGGATCTGTGCCCTGCCACTGGAAATGACTGCCGCGAAGGCTATGCTGGATACATCACACCCTTTATTGCCACAGGCAGAAAACGATTATAATAGTTATACCCTCGGAAGTATTACTGGCCATAATATTGTGGTGGCCTGTTTACCGTCTGGTGTATATGGAACAATAGCCGCCTCGACGGTAATATCTCAGCTGTGTTCCACCTTCCCAAGAATCCAGTTCGGATTGATGGTTGGAATCGGAGGGGGTGTTCCTAGTACCGGGACTGATATTCGCCTCGGCGATGTTGTAGTGAGCAAGCCAACGCCTACTTCCTGTGGCGTGATACAGTATGATTACGGTAAATCCATGCACAATGGACGGTTCCAGCGCACAGGCTCTCTCAACAAACCTCCCCGGGTTCTATTAACCGCCATCTCTCAGATGCAGAGCGATGATATAATGGGGAATCGACCAGTTCAGGGCATAATATCGAGTATCTTGCTCAAAAATCAAGCAATGCAGGAACAATTCTCCCGACCACATGAAGATCTATTGTTTAATGCCCAATGTAACCATCAGACCGGCGCCCTAGACTGCTCTAATTGTGATCGCGGCAAGATAATAGCTCGTGACCCGAGACCTATGGATGGTCCCTACATCCATTACGGCTTAATCGCTTCGGGAGACCAGGTTATGAAAGATGCTACTACCCGCGATATCATTGCGCAAGAGAGTGGCATGGGTGTTCTCTGTTTTGAGATGGAGGCGGCCGGTCTAATGGACCAGCTACCGTCTCTTGTGATTCGCGGTATCTGTGATTACTGTGACTCCCATAAGAACAAAAGTTGGCAAGGCTATGCCGCCATTGTGGCTGCTGCCTATGCTAAGGCTCTCTTATCCGTGGTTCCGGTCCACTATCACAACCTGGAGTTACGCAAAACCAAGGGGAAAGCATGGATGGTCCCATTCAGGAAGAACCCACGCTTCATAGGCCGCGAGTCCGAGATTGCAGAACTTGAGCGACGGATAGAGAAATCGCAAGGGCCGTCTAGGATTGCGATCTGTGGGTTAGGCGGAGTTGGAAAGACCCAAATTGCACTTGAATTGGCATATCGTTTACAAAGCAGGCACTCCGATTACTCAGTCTTCTGGATTCCATGTACGAGCCACGAAAGTGTGGAACAGGCATACTTGACTCTGGCACATATACTAGGAATGCACAATGCACAGCCTGCAGAGGCGAAAAACAGTGTGAAGGCTTATCTTAGCCAGAGAACGGGACGATGGCTTCTAATCTTTGATAATGCGGATGATATAGATATGTGGATCCAAAGCTGCACCGGTAACCCTAACCCAGTTCTGGTTGATTTCTTGCCTCAGAGTGATCAAGGCCGTATTCTATTCACGACTCGGAATCGAAAGCTAGCTGTAAAGCTGGCATCGTCTAATGTAATAGATATTTCCGAGCCCGATATAGAAACTGCTACGAAAATCCTTGACAATCTATTGATTAGGAAAGACTTACTTGATGACAGTGATGCGACTAAGACTCTGATCGAACAGCTGGCCTTTCTTCCTCTGGCAATAGCCCAGGCAGCAGCATATATCAATGAAAATGATATTAAATTTACGGAATATGTTACGCTTCTGCAGGAACCAGAGCCAGAGGTGATTGAGCTGCTGAGTGAAGACTTTGGAGATGGGGAGCAAGACAAATACGCGAATCCTGTTGCTACTACCTGGTTAATCTCATTTCAACAGATCCAGAGGTTGAACCAGTTAGCAGCGGATTATCTCTCATTTATGGCATGTATAAGTCCTCGCGACATCCCACAGTCACTGCTTCCTTCGGCCATATCAAAAAGGAAGAAAATTGAAGCAATCGGCCTTCTTAAAGCATTCTCATTCATAAATGAGCAGGCTGAGGGCTTCCTGAGTCTCCATCGACTTGTATATTATGCAACTCGAAATTGGATGAGAAGCAACCAGCAGCTTGACCCGTATATTAAGAAAACCGCAGACCAGCTCAGTCATGTCTTTCCAACTGAAGATCATACGAATCGCAAGATGTGGAGACAGTATCTACCTCACGCTGTAGCATTGATTACTCAAAGCGAGTTCCAGAAACAACAGGAAACATATGCTGCATTGCTTGAACAGATTGGAATGTGCCTGTATCGGGATGGAAGATATGGTGAAGCAGAAGGCCCAGTGTTACGGGCAATGGACATCAACGTACAGATGCTAGGACGAGAAAATACTTCTACTCTTGATAATATGGCCAGACTTGCGTGGATATACATGAAGCAGGGCCGAAGGAAGGACGCAGAAGAACTACAAGTAGACGTACTGGCGACTAGCAGGAGAGTCCTAGGACCAAAGGATCCTGATACTCTGTCCAGTATGTCTGACTTAGCATGCACATACCATGAACAGGGTCGACAGAAAGAATCAGAAGAACTACAGATACAGGCGCTGGCAGCCCTCAAGGAGACTCTGGGGCCAGAAAATGCTGTGACTCTAACGAGTATGAATAATCTAGCGTCTGTATACAGGCACCAGATGCGTTGGAAAGAAGCAGAAGACCTTGAGTTGCAAGTTATAAAGTTCCGTAAGCGAGTACTAGGTTCAGACCACCCCGACACAGTGACCGCCATGAACAATATGGCGCTCATATACGATGCACAGGGAAGATGGAGGGAGGCAGAAGAACTAGGGGCACAGGTAGTAGAGGCGCGGAAAATGATTCTTGGTGAAGAACATCCTGACACTTTGGCAAGCATGGCTATCCTGGCGTTGGTATACCAAGACCAGAGGCGGTGGAAGGACGCCGAGGATCTGCTGCTGAAGGTAATAGAGACCCGGAAGGTGGTGTTCGGACCAGAGCACCCGGACACACTTAACAGTTTGGGATGTCTAGCATCTACATACTGGAGCCAGAGACGATGTAGGGATGCAGAGGAGATATATTTCGACCTGGTGGCAACCTGCAAGCGCGTACTAGGGCCCGAGCACCCTGAGACTGTGAGAAATATGGTCTGGCTAGCGCATATATACTGGCATCAACGGCAGTGGAAGGAGGCAGAGGAGCTGGAGTTTCACATCTTGGAGACCCGCAAGCGTGTACTGGGGCCAGAGCATCCAGACACATTGGCGGCTATGCATGCTCTAGCCCATACTTGGAAATCCCGACAGAAGGTTAGAGACGCGTTGGCTTTAATGGAGGAATGTGTTGCTCTTCGAAATAGTGTATTAGGGCCCGATCATCCAGATGCACTACGCTCTTCCCACAAGCTTGACGAGTTCAAAAAAGCAGATCACTTATTAGATACAAACCAACGGACGCCTGCTCAAGTGGGAATCGATCCATCTATGAAAGAAACCTCCACAGCTATAGTGACCACAGCATCAGAAACCAAGCATACCAACCGGGCTAAAGGTTTAACGACCGCTATCAGATGGCCACCCGAAAGCCATCCCCTCCTCATCGCTTCTAGAAGCAATTCGTCTCTGTCCAAAGATCACGACTTACGAGAAGTTGATTGAGTGATGCCATGGTCGGTCGAAATATACGAGTCAACACACCTAAAATCAACGCGCCCCGGCTTCAGAATTCCGAGGATACTGTTATGGCAATTGACGCCGTATTCAATGCATGCTTTGATTAGGAAGAGGAATCGTTCCTGTCGCCATGTCGGTCATCAAGGCTTGTTTCTTCGCCGGCAGTGTATCCACAGAAATTCTATTGCCAGCATCTTGAATGCTGAACCAGGTGTGTCAGGGTTTGTTGCAATGTGCGAATTGGAGATTATTGCAGAGTTCTTCAACTTCCAAGGAAGTTCAAAGTTCAAGTTCATGGATGGTCTCAAGGTTCTCCTAATCCGGTTAGACCGAGAAACTTCTGCCAAGAAATACCACGCCTCAGGCCCACCTGAACGTGTCGAATTCCAACATCGATTGTGCGGACATCCTTCTGCCAATATCTCAACAAGATGTATGCAATCACACCTTCGCTTTGTTAAACCACAGGGACTTAACTATGGATACATTGATCCAGATGAGATACCTCCTTCCCTGCCAAGCTCCAATGAAAGCTTCGCACTTGCCAAGGCTGGGAAGCAGTGTACTATGAAACTATCCGGATCAATGGCGCATGCCCAGCACCGTCGAGGAGACAAAGCTGTGACCTACATGATTCAGCCTCAGTTACACGCCTGACTCTATCGGCATAAAGGATCTGATATAGCGCCACGATCCTACCATCCTACAACGTGACTGGAGAAGCACGGCCTACCGGATGTATCTCCGATACTCTCATGAAACTGTTACGAGATGCCCTAAACCCAATTTGGCGGACCTTGCGAGTACTTTCAGGCCCAGGGCCGAACTCCGAACAGAATATGTTGGAGCCTTCGACCAATTTGCCGAATGAAGTCGCGGCCCGAGTAAAGGTATTATCCACAGGGTTCAATCAGAATGCGTCTTGCAACGGGTGTCCCCGCCGTATTCCACTGTTACGTCAATTGCAAGCGCGGGTTATTGGATCCATCCGGAGCCCGATTTTGAGTCTATGGCCCTGTAAGAATTTGAAGATTTTCACGATGCGAAGATATATCCTGTGTGACTTGTCTCGTTTTTCTCTGCCTCGTAATCCATACTACATGGGCTTCTTGCTCAGCCACTCGTTTACTTGATTCTTGACCTGTTTTTATAGTGGTCCCATGTATAGTCTGGGCGCTGCCTAGTCATTCATTCGGATATAATATATTGTGCTTTTCGCTTCAGTCCCTGGCAGCTTGATAATACAACTGCCTGTGATCAACTACACTTGCATTGACATTGGCACCGGGCCAACTAATCCCTACAAACTGCAGATTCCCCCCCCAATTGTCTTGAATATGTCGGCCGATCAAGAGTTCGAATTCAAAAAATGGCTCTCCACGAGCTGCCATCCTCTCATAGATGGCATGGATACTGCGTACGGCTATCAGCCGTCGCTGGCTGCAGGCATCGTCTTTCTCGTTCTCTTCGGTCTCTCGATGATCGTTCACACAATCCAGTTTACCTGGAAAAGAACCTGGTGGTGTGCTGTCTTCAGTATTGGTTGTCTGAGTGCGTACCGTCCCAACCTCCGGTGACCTGGATAATATACTGACGTCAAACCCAGCGGAGGTCCTGGGCTGGGCCGGACGTACCTGGTCCTCAGAATGTCCTTATAACATGACAGCCTTCTTGATGCAAATCTCCACCCTAATCATCGGTAAGCAACCAAAGAAAAAACAGACCCCCCACCGATCTGTCTATTCTTGAGGGGAAGAAAAGGCACTAACCAACCAATCTAGCTCCCACCTTCTTCACAGCAGGCATCTACGTCCTCCTCGGCCGCTTCATCCAAATCCTCGGCCGCGACTCCTCCATCCTCAGCCCGAAAATGTACCTCTGGATCTTCTGCACCTGCGACGTCATCTCGCTCGTCATCCAAGCCATCGGCGGCGGTATCGCGTCCGCCGAAACAAACAAGGAAGACGGCGACACAGCCCCCGGCACCCACATCATGGTCGCCGGTATCGTCTTCCAACTGTTCTCGATCACTGTCTTTGTCGCCTGCGCTGCCGATTTTGTCCGCCGCGTCCTCCGTCGTCGTCTTCTGCAGAACATGAGCGGATCCATCACCCCCCTGTTCGCCGCCATGGTCTTCTCCGTGCTTTGTATTTACGTCCGAAGCATTTACCGTACCATAGAGTTGTCGCAAGGTTGGACCGGGTATCTGATTACCCGGGAGAAGTACTTCATTGCCCTTGATGGCGCGATGATGGTGGCTGCTGTTGGCGTCTTTAATATCTTCCATCCCGGCTGGTTGATGCCGAGTACCAAGGCGATGCAATATGACCGGGAGATTATGTCTGAGGATGGTTATGGTCATACTACTGAACTTCGGTGAAGTACTGCGTTCCTTTTTGCTCTTTCCTTTTCGTTTTGGTTGGAGTCGGCATTGTTGCTTTCTTGTGTAGCGAGTGCTTAGATTCTAGATTCTAAATCGTTGGCCTTCAAGGATAACGAAAATAATGTTTCAATATATAATTGAATACGAAACCTGCTCAGCATATACTTTCAGGTCAATTTCGGGAAAACTCATTCACCACAAAAACGCTCGAGATAAACAACTAGTGATACAAAAGGATAAGTAAGATACGAGTGATGAAAAGAGAAGAGAAAAGGAGGAAACATAAGAGAATAGAATCGGATATAACCTGAAGCGCCAAAGCTAAACATCATTTCGAAGGATAAAGGTGAAAAGGTCATGACAGAGTTTCATCCATCCCAGGTCATCAGGGGGGGAAACGTAAAGGAAGCGCTTTTCGTCGTGGTCACATTTCATACTACTAATCCCGAGTTCATCAACCGAGCAATCATACCCCATCAACTGCCTCGATCCAACCAAAAGTCGCTCCAACAGCCAAAATTGCGACAGCCCAGATTGAACCCCAAGCAGACGCACCCTCGATGGCAACTCCCTCAATGGTTCCTGCCAACTGGACAATGGTGTTACTGAGCAGCATGGCTGCGAGAAGTACCGTTCGCGAGATAAGAACTCTCGTCTTGGGCGAGAGTGCTCCCCAGGTCTTCCGATAAACTGCACAGGCGAGGTACTCGCCCTCGTGCGATGTGGAGCTCTTTTCGGTCGAGTCGGTCCTCTTAGGCGCGGCTGCGCCAGTGGAACTAACGAAAAGAAAATCTCTCGCCGCCCAGCCGGCTGGGAGGAGGGCGAGGAAGAGGGTTGGCAGACCTGCGGGACCGGCGTGAACGGCGCTAATGTCGGGGATGTTTTCGAAGTGGAGGACTAGTTGTGTTGGGAGCCAGGTCGCATAGCTTAGGTATAGAACGACAGTCAGAATCGATGTCGCGGCGATAGTGGTATAAATGGTTGTCGCGCGGTCCTGAAGGATGGAGCGGTTGCGAACTGCATCGGAAGGAGCATGCGACAGGTCGTGCACGCAAGTCGGTTTGCGCAGGAGTACAAAGGGGACTGAGGTTGAGAATAAGATGATCGCATAAGAGATCAAAACCGTGGTGGGGCGGATGTTGTAGAAAGATGCTAGGAGTGCGTAGGTGGGGAGGTGGGTGAGGAACATGAATGACGACACATCTCGTCCTGCAGGAGTCGGTCAGCCCTCTTTGAACGCATGGAGAATGTAAGCAGTTCGAAAATAAAGGAAGCTCACCATCAAAGCCCAAGATCCAGGCTAACCCAACCTCTACTGCCTTCCAAGCCGTCAAGCCCCCCACTTCCCACCATGCTTCGAGATGTCTGCTCACGCCGCCCAGTTCGCCAAGGGTAGCTCCAGACGTGAAACTGAAGAATCCAGCACTCAGTGCCAGGCTACTCAGGACGACCAACACAAAGCGCGCTGGCTGGGGAATCCGGTTCAACTGAGTCTTCTGGCGCAGATCGTTTGCCGGCTTGTCTGCGTTATCTGCAGTCGCTGTCACCGAAGATAAGACGTCCTTCTTGCGAGGGGTCATGGTTGGGTATTTTGTGTTAGTAGTACAAAATGCAGCGAGCTTGTAAGTTGATAAAGGAATGAGCTGGAGCAGAGCGCAATGTTAAGCTGAAGAAATTTATTGTAGAAGTAGATTATATACATATTCATGGAGGCTGGGGGCTGATTTTCTGGCGAGCGGTGAGCATGTGATGATGTCACTGCTTCCCTGATGCGCCCAACCAATCAGAACACCCAGGATCCTGTTTTCTAGTAAGTAGTATTCGGTGATATCATAGGGTTGGGCGTAGAGCAAAGATACATACAGGAATTACTATGTCACAGACAGGCTCAGGAGTATATCCGGTAATTACATTGTTTTTCAATGGCTGATGATGGCTTCAACTCTGACCTCGCCTTTCAGTATGCTTCAATCAGTCGTCCTCATCCTCTTTCTGGCCCTCCACCACCGTGAACTCAGCAACACCATTATCGCGACCATTGGGATCCCGCATAGCAAGCTGGTATTTGCCTTGGTTCCAGAGATCTTTGATGGTGAGCTCACGGGTTCGTCCAAGACTCTCAATATCACCAATTCGCTCCAGTGTTCCCTCCAGGTGCTTGTCAAATCCTTCCCAAGAACAGATTTCTCGGAAAGCATTCTGCATAGGAACAGAATCGGCTCGGACCATAGCTCGAGAATCGATTGTAAAGATGTTGTCATGATCGTAACTTTGGATAAAGTCCGCTCTTGTCATAACTTCCCGCGCCTTATGTAGCGGTATCTCTGGTAGAATATGGCCAATCTCCGGGTCATAGGTTTTCTCCATCTCCTTCTCCTGGTCGACAAGCGCTTTGGCGAGAACCATCGCAGCAGACTGTCAACGTCTTTGGTTAGAGTGTTCTCATGGTATCCCGAGGCACTTATTGTACTTACAGAGTACTTCTGCTCATCCATGACGTCGTCATCCATTTCCGGTCCAAGGATCCAGCATTTGTTGAGGAACCATCTCTTCTCGGCCTCACATATTCCATCACAGAGTTTCATATAATCTTTGGCCTTGGCCACCCGGTTCAGGAAGGACAAACGTCCACCAACTTTGTTGTAGATTTCTTCAAGTACTTCGTTCGATAATTCCTCACCAAAGTACTGCTTGCGATACCTCCGTAGAGCGTCCATCGCTCGTTGCTTGGGTAGATCCGAAACAGGGATGACTTCCATCCTGGTGGCGTATCGCTTGAGGCGTTCATATACCCAGTAATCGTCACTGTTGAGGACTGCAATTTCGGTATTGTCAGGGTCTATACTAGAAGCAAGAGGGAGTGCAGTTTACCTGTCGTCACCAAGTTGCTAGCCGCCCATTGTTCCGCTCTCTGTTGAATCATTTCCAGGAGATCCTGACCATCATGATCATCCCTGACCAGGTGAGTACTATTAATGATCAAAATCAAAGCTGGCAATCCCTCACGTCTACGCATAAGCGCCACCTTCTCTAACTTGTTGAATGCGCGCTCAATGTCCAAGAGAGGGGTGGTATCTCGAGGACCCTTAATGCTAAAAAGACTTCCAATGTAGCTGGTACCATCTGTCAGCAGTTGCAAAAAGGAGGGCCATAAAGCAACCTACTCTTCATGGAACTCAAAGTCCAACGCTTTCCCTAGCCTAGTTCGGAAAATTTCAAGATCACCATGTGCTTCAAACATAGCACAACCCTCGCCATCAATCTTGCGCATCGCCTCTAGGAGCATAGATGTCTTTCCAGTGCCTTTCTCACCAATGAGCAGGAAATAACGGCCACCAGCGCCACCAGCGATGATTCGATCCATCCTGGGTTGTTCGTCGCGGACAACCCAGTGCTCCTCATGGTGATACTGATGTTTTCCTGATTCTACACCCGCAACTTCGAGTGCTGGATCGCCCGGCTTGAAGGCATTTTCCATCTTTTCCAAAATCAGATACTTGTAGTACCGGTGATACGAGTAGCCCGCAATACTGGAACGTCGTCAGTAAGCAACCAAGCGCAGCATGGGAGCCGCTAGGTAGCATACCCTAGAACGGCAATAGAAGCAAAAGTAGTGGCGGCGGTCTCCATCATTTTTAGGATAGTAGATCTGAATGTTGGCTCTCCGTCGTTGCTGTTGGATCGGGCTCCGTCATCTCCTGCATCTTGCTCCAAGGGGTTTGGGGCAGCTTGGTAGGAGCCCTGTGAGAAATGCATTCCCGATTTATATGGAGCTACTCCAATGGCCCTCAACGGTCTCGACAGGCTAAGGCGGCCCGAGGAGAATATTGGCAGGGATCGTGGAACATATCGGTATACCGGCATCGCTCATATACACCGTAGATTAAATGAACGCCACGGGATGTATCAATGCAATGGATAATCTTTTTAAGAAAAGAAAATAAATAACAACGATTACAAACGTCAAAGGCAAATAAAACTGGAGGTTCCAAAGATTGTAAGGAAATTACACGCGTCGACTATAGTAATAGGGGGAATAATGACGTAGTGGATAGATACATGAAAAGGAGAACTGGCGAGTAAAGAATCAAACACCGATTGAATACCAGCACAGAGCATCAAAGAAAGATGAGGATAAACGAGAGTCGTCTAGTGGGTATTGAATAAGAAAAGGAAAGACAGCACCACACAAAAAGAAGGTGAGGTGGAAGCTTGGACCCAATCTTTCAATTTCCAGACAAAGATATTCTCCGGTGCTGCGCCCCCGATCGCATGGAGATCGACTGTGGCTTTGCACGACTCTAATTTGTTGGGAAGTGTGGCTGACTGCGAGGTCGGTAAACTCTGCCGAAGTGTCGGTAAGTCAAGCGGAAAGCCTCCATGGATGAGAAGAAAAAGTTCAAACATGTTAATATGGAGTAAGTACATCGTGATCGCCGTTGTATGAATATATGTCCTTCAACAATTGATATACCTGAGCTAGATATTTCTACTACTTATCTTGAAGGCATTGTACATACTTCTAGTACCTCCACCAGGTACCTCAAGAGGCATTTCGAATGACTCAAGGAGAGAATAGAGGGATCTATGAACATCACTACTGTGTACTAGTAGGTGGAGAGTAGCATACGGGGTACTTGAGACCAATTAATGGAAGACACAGTTCACGCGTAAGATACATACAATCCACAGCCCTACTTGGGATTTGTGCCCATCCTACAGAGTATACTCCGGCGTAGGTGTAGGACTTGACCACATAACGTGGCACACCCCAAGAGAAGCGAATTAGAGAGTCAATTGATAAATTACATTATTCACGCGAAAGATATTCTGTTCCAAGAGTGGATCTGGTTTAATTTGGGGTCAATCGAACGGTATGTGTGGAGATCTTGATACTTTTCTTTCCCTTTTTGTTACCTGAACAACCTTCCCAATGTAATTCCTATTACCATACCCATTCCTCCGCCCCGAGCACTTCCGAGGGTATTCCGCGCGAAATTTTCTCTTTGCCCGGCTTCCCCATTACTTTCTCCAGCTTCAACCATTTTGCATCCTGTCATTATTTTCCATATTTGGGGTATTGTTCTGTTTCCCTTCATTCGTCTGGGTACGGGGTTTGTTTTTACTATATTCAATTGCCCTTGTACTTGTATATCATACCTTATTTTCATTCTACATTCTTCCCCGACGCCGACAACTTTTTTTCCCTCTTCCTCTTTTTCCTAATTCCTTTCCCCAGCCGGGTCTGAAGCTCGAGACATTCCGTCAGGTTGTAGCTTCAGCTTTAAGCCTTATATTTTCTTTTGAAACCTACCTTTATTACCAAAACATCGATCATAATGGCCCAGACCAATGGAGAGTTGGAGCACTCGAAAGGTATGTGCACATTTGTGATCTTCAAAATTCACAGTGCGTAAGGTGCGATAATCTAACCGCCATAGCAGAGACTCCGGAACAACTTACCAACGGAAACCACCCCGAGGGAGCTCAGGAAGAGGAGCAGAATGGAGGTATGCCACGTCACAACTGGGATACTGTTGTCGTCGTTTGAAGACTAACACCGCTCCGAATTGAAAGGCCTTTTCCAGATCTCCGTGAAGCTTCCTCACGAACCTTATAAGATTCAGGTGATGGTGGGTGTTTGAAACCAATTAACATCTAAATGATCGCAGACATTTAACAGATTGCCTAACTGTTCTGTCCCTCCATAGGTGTCAAGCCAGGAGCAAGTTCAGGATGTCCGACAGTCGATTGTCGAGCTTCCCAGCACCTTCCAGTATACTTGCTTCCACCTGGAGTTCAACGGCAACCGTATCAATGACTTTGTCGAGCTGTCTGAAGTTCCCGACTTGAAGGCTGATTCGGAAATCGTCCTTGTGGAAGACCCATATACCGAGAAGGAATCCCGCATGCACGTTATCCGAATGAGAGAGCTGGTCGGAGCTGCAGGCGACCGTGTCGACAACCTCCAGGGTATCAGCGCCGGTCTGTCGCTGCACGATTCCATCTCCGAGGAAGCCGCTGCCGGAGAGACTGCCGAGAAGGAGCACTCGTTGTCCAAATATGACATTACCGGCTCACCATCTCTCAACACCATCCTCCCTAAAGCAGAGGCTCCTCTTCCCAAGACCGTTAAGTCGATTTCGCTATCACCATGGAACCCTGTCCCCTACCATCTCCGCCAAAAGGGTCACCTGCTCTACCTCCAGGTCACCACCAACGAGGGAGAGCAATTCCAGATCACTTCTCACGTTTCTGGCTTCTTCGTGAACAAGTGCTCTAATGCTAGGTTCGATCCGTTCCCCAAGCCCATGCCGAAGAAGGGCAGCGCCCACTCCCTTCTTACTCTGATCTCTCACTTGTCTCCTTCTTTCAACGCCTCCTTCGAAGCGCTGCAGGAGGCCAACAACAAGAAGGACCTTTTGACTACTTTCCCCTTCCAGAACGCTATTCCCAACAGCCCATGGCTCGTTGCTCCTCCTACGTCAAGTGTGAACGCCCATCAACCTGATATCACACGGTCACAAGAGAACTACTTGATCTCTGGTGTCGACAACGCGGAAACCTTGCGAGACTGGAATGAGGAGTTCCAGACCACGCGAGAGTTGCCTCGTGACACCGTTCAGGACCGTGTTTTCCGAGAGCGCTTGACCTCGAAGCTATTCGCGGATTATAACGAGGCCGCGGCTCG